CCCCTGAATAAGCTAAAGCATACGTCTTCAAATTATTCCCAAATTCACATGGAAGAGTGAGGCGTTCAGGATCTCCCATCTTCTTCGGTAACTCTCCCATTATCACTTTAGAACTCTGCTCACTTAGAATCACATTGGAATTCTTCTGTAGCTGCTGGCGAGTATTGATTAAATCTTGCAAAAACTTGGCATACTCGGGAAATTTAGATAACGAATCAATGAAAGGGGTATTTATTGGAATACCCTTCACTTATTGCCTAAACTTCAAATGGTCCTGTTCCAGTGGATGGATATTAGCTCGGGAAGGAAACGGTAAAGGGGCGGTCCAACCTTGTATTGTAGGTCTTGTGTGTATGCATTGTATGTGTATTGTTATGTATGGTATTTTGGGGGAACTCGTTAAGCTTTGGCTTACACTTGTGGATTAAACGTTTTTCGGGTACTTTATCGGTTCGTGGGAAGGCGAAGGCGTGATTGTACGCACCCATCAGTAGTTTAATGATTTGAGATTTCGTGATGCTTTTCTTTATAACTCTGAATCTAAACTATGGTTTACGAACAAGGGGTTTTGTCTTGATCATATCTTTAAGAAATGCGTATTTACCCTAGTTTAAAAATGAAAAAATTATTATAAAAATTGGGATGTTACAGGTATCCAAATCAAAAATCTATTTTAGAAAAATAACTCACTCAATGCAATTGATCAAATAGATCATCAATCTTGGGTAAGAGATGTCTTCTTGATGATCACTTTTTGAAGTCACGTGTCACACCCCAAAACCGAAATGGCGGAAACGTTCTGGGGTGGAGGACGTCATGTGTAGCATCACAACCAATGAATAATAGCAATCATAGCAACACAACCATTACAGTGAATACTTAAATAAAAATGTTTACATCAGTTTGAAACTTTGTCTGAAACTTGTTTGAATTACATCAAATAGCTTTGTAAGGTATAAACATAAAACTCTTATTGCTCCAGCTTCTCAAAAATCCAGCAAGTACCTGTCTACTGATTTCCTGAGAATACAAGCAGTTTAAAAATATCAGCATAAAGCTGGTGAGTTCATAAGCGGTATTTTGTAATGAAAACTTGTTGATGAGCTCGCAAAGGTGTTCGTAAAGTTTCAAGAAAATCCGATATTTTCTTTAGTGAAAATGTAGTGTTTTCAATTCTGTATAAAACCATGAATGTTCATTACTGAAAACTATAGTGATATGTGAAAATAATGCTTCATGTGACTAGCTAATGCTAATCATGATGCATAAGTATTTCGTACGTGAAACCATTGTATGATCGATTCTGTTTGAAAACCCTGGAAATTCTCCAGTTGTAGTGTGTATTAGTTCTATTTAGTAAAATAAAACTGTTGAAGAATGACAGTTTGTAAACCAAGAGTGATTTATACATATTGTGAGTCGTATAACCATACTTGATATGACTAGAGACCTTTCCAACATTCTTCAGGCGTCGAGTTAAATGACATTTGTCACACTAGGCATGCCTGCCCAACTGTAGCTAGCAATTCGGGTGTGGGATTGTCAGTCCCGAATAGATCTATTCACAAATCTCACGCTCTCCCTCCAGGAGACTCTGGTTATACTATGATAGGATTTATCCCTGTACACCTAAGGGTACAGTATTGAAGTAGCGCCTCACAGTATCGTACAATCTAGTTTACATGTAGTGTAGTAGCATTCTACCATAGTGAAAATCTGTATGTATACCGTATGTAGTGATAATTACAGTTATGAATACCATGATAAAGTAGTCATGTAAACTGTAAACTGTAAACTGTTTCTGTCTTAGTGTATATGTTTAGTAGTGAAAGTTTCTGTACTTGTTACGTTTAGAAAATCCCAAACTATACCGATTATAGTTTGCATGTATAACGTAGTGAATATCGAGTCCGGAAAAACTATGCAATTTTAGTGAAAACGTCCCTTATGCTCAACACAGTACAAAGGGGTTAAAGTATGAGAATTGCATGAGTTTTGAAAACATTTATGTTTAGCTAGTATTCCCCCCTGAAAACATTAAAAACATGGAAAATGTAGGGGAATGAACTCACCTGTAGCGGGCGATACGACTGAAAGATCGGTGTAGGATGTTAGGTGTCAAGTGAAGACTTGAGCACACACACGAATCCTAATTAGCATATAAGGACACATATATGAATAAGATTAGAGTTTATACAACTAATTGTGAAAGGTAACACCTTATTTGGACTAGGAAACTCTAAGATTGAAGGATATGAATCACATATGATTGCATATTAGGGGTGTACGACCACTCAAAGGAGTTTACGGCCATAATGGCATGACCAAGGGAGTTTACTGCCCATGAGTTTACGGCCGTAAACTCATGATACTTTCATATGGGTGTTTTAAAGGGCAAAAAGTATTGAAGAAGGGTTCTAGGTTCATGTCCAAGCCTTAGGAAGAGTTTAAGGTCCAATTTACACTCCAAACTAGGGTTTACGGCCAAGGGAGATGCTATTGGCCGTAAACACCTCATGTTCTTGGAAAAGCTTGATTTCAAGGCTAGCATTTTGAATCTTAACTAGATAACAAGTATAGGGAAGTTATACTTACGATTTGAAGGCAAAGGAGGGTGTTTTCGGCCTAAAACACCTTAGTGTTCTTGATGTTCTTGAGAGAGTTTTCGAGTTCCAAGCCTTAGAAATGGAAAAAGTACAGAAAAATGGACCAAGCATCATACTTATAGGCTGGAGTTTACGACCATCATGAGTTTACTGCCATCATGAGTTTACGGCCGTAAACTCTTGGTCCTGGCCGTAAACTCCTCATTTGAGGGTTTATGGCTTGATCAATGGTTTGGAACTTTAGTTGACCCATTCTAACACTTGGTCCCTTGATGTACTAAGCTTAGAATGCTCAAACAGACTTTAAACAGTGCTAAAAGTTAGCATAAACAAGTCTGACTTTGATTGAAGTGAATAGTTTGTACAAGATAGAAATTTCAGGTTGTCACATCACGGTAGTCAATACACATTCTCATGGATTATTCTTTCATTTCAACAAAAAAATTGGAGTTCCCCAACGTGAGGTGCTCGGTATCACAAAACCTTTTTCTAACAACTATTGCAAGGCACGAGTGATTGCTAATGTCATAGTCAACAACCTGATATTGATTGTGACGAGACATTTAGCCTGATTGTCAAACCTGCCACCATATCGATTGTGCATGCTCTTGTTGTATCTCACAGCTGGCATGTTGATCAACTTGGTGTGAATAATGTTTTTTCTTTACGAACATCATCAGGAGATTGTATATATGCATCAAAAACTAGGATTTAAGCGTTTTCCCTTTTCTGATCATGTTTGTCTTCATCAAAGATCTCTTTGCGGTCCCAAAAAGGCATCACACACATGATTTCACATGTTTGCATAACTTATTATTTGTCTTGAATTCGTACAAAACTATTATGATTCCTCGATATTACCTATATATAGGGTCCACATATTGCATATCTTATGTTGTACGTTGATGACATTGTCTTGATTGCCTCATCAACTAACTTTTTATAGAGAATTTTAGTTACATTTAAGGACAATTTTCCATATTTGACCTTAGGAATCTCAACTTATTTTTGGGAAATTTTTTTACTCATGATCGTTGAGTTTTACATAACTAGCCTTAGTGAATCCGAACCTCCGATCTCTTATCCTGCTTTATATCAGAGTCTTGTTGATGCCCTACAAGATACTTTATGTTCATTCGACATGACATTACTTATTTGGTTCACCAAATCTATTATATATGCATGATCTTTTACTTATAGACGATCTATATTTGGCTAATGTGTATTTCTTGGTGCCCTACAATACTTTATGTTCACTCAATCCTCGTGAGCCTCACTTTGGGCATGATGTCCTACTTCTAAAATATCTACATTGAGATACTATGTATTTCTTGGTTTGGATATTTTTTCTTGGTCCTTTAAACGTCAAGGGGCCGTTTCTAGATCTAGTGCAGAAGGAGTATTTTGACGTTGCCAACTTGTTGCATAGACATTGGATTTGCAACCTCCTTCATGAACTTCATCAAGCGGTCATCACCACCACGATTGTTTATTGTGATAATGGTAGCGGCATTTGTCTTTCCTCCAATCTGATTTAAAATTAACAAACCAAACATATTGAGATCGATAATCATTTTGTACGTGATAAAGTTATAATGGGTCAACTGTGGGTGTTACATGTCCCTTCATCATCTGTATGCAGACAATTTCCCCAATGGACTACCTTCCATATTATTTCTTAATATCTAATTTTGAATGTTCGGATCTCTCATGTCGGTTGGGGGTGTATTATTATTGTGTATTTTGTTTTTTCTATCTTTGTATTCTCCCTAGTAGTCTCGGACCTAGTAAACCCACAATATAAAAAAAATGTTCTTTAATGAGAAAGAGAAGATAAAAAAAATATAATCAATGCTAAGGTATCATTTACAATCTATACATATTCATTGTGGTGTTATTTTGACTTATTCTCATTGTGGTGTTATTTTGACTTATTTATCTCTTTATATGTGACATTGTCCTATCTAATGGAGAGCGTTACCTTTTATCAATAATAGAGCTTGAAAGTTTGGTTATAGTGTTTATTTTATTGAAGAAACAATTTCTCTTTAGATAATGAATTTATATTAAAACTTTCACACATCATTATTGACTATATTAAAACTTTCACCAACTTTGCTCTCTGTATTGCTTACTCTTTATAACGGTTGACTCCTTGAAGCCATTGGTTAATGGTTCATTTTCGCGCATATAATTTATCATCCAATTCACCAATAATTTTTTATATAGAATAGGAAAATATATAATATTATGCCATTTGTTGCGTCAACCCATATATAAATCACTAATGATAAATAAGGCATTATGAAAGACTACATTAAGATGTGAAAATTAAACACACAAATTAATACTATAATATCATACAACAAACGTGATATCGATTCAGACTTCCACTTGAGATTTAAAACTTAAAAGAATTTAAAATAACAGAAGTTTGAACTATTTACTGTTCAGCGAATAATATCGGACCCACAGACCATGAAACAGCCTTTTTCGATCCTATAAAAATCATTCCTTAACCCATACTCGATTCATAGCTCTTCTTATTCCGAGAGATCCGGTTCAAGCAATAGTCACCATGGTTAAAGCAATTAGGGTTTATGAACACGGTGGACCTGAGGTGACTTTCTTCATCGATCCTTTTGTAAAATAGTAGAAACTGATCAGACGATCAGTCCTGTGGTTTAATTCCACCATTGTTACATCTGGTTATATTCTGCATGCTCTGAATTCAAAAACATGTTTGCTATATATCGATATTCAATTAAATCAATTAGTTTGGTTTGTTTATATATTAATGCAAACACTGTTACAGGTTATGAAATGGGAGGATGTGGATATAGGAGAACCAAAAAGCGGAGAAATCAAAGTGAAAAACAAGGCGATTGGAGTAAACTATTTGGATGTTTATATGCGTAGAGGTTTAATCCCTAGTTTATGTCCTCCACTGACTTTCACACCAGGTGCTTATTTTAACTTTTAATTATTCTAATAATTCTTTCGTATGATCTTATTACAAACTTATGCGATGATCATGCATGATTTTAATTGTTATACTAATTGAAAACTAAAAAGAACTATACAAATTTGTAAGTATTGAAAACTGAAAAGAACTATAAAATCAAAAAAGCAGAAGGTGATAATGGATGGAGGCAGTGGTTGTGTTCATGGCAGTGGGTTATAAATTAATTATTCTTAAATTTTTATTATATTCTTTTTTTATTTACATGAAACATTTTGTTTTCGTTCAATTTAATGTAAATGATCATTTTCCTTTTTTAAAGATAAATCTAATTTACTCATAACCTTCAAAAAAAAAAAAAAAAAAAACTACTCCTTAATCTATAAGATCACTAGTTGTAAGACTCGTATATTATACGGGTTGATTAAAACAAAATGTTAAATAGGAACGATTAAATGAGAAATTTATTTGAATTTGAAATTTGAAATTTGATATAAATGAAAATTATGAGAAAAAAAAAACATGCATTGCAAAAAATAAATAAATTAAAATTATATGTTTAGTTATCAGACATGTGTACTAAACGGGTTAATAATAACAAAATGTTAAACACAAAGGTTTAAACTGTAAATTTATTTAAAATTGAAGTTGAAATTTAAAATTTAAAAATTGAAATTAATAGTATGGTAGGTTTAATTTGTGGAAACTAAATTAATGATATATTATAGAAAAAAAAGTTGAATTAAACTTAATATATTTTAAGGGTTGTGCTATAAGTACCCCTTATCCAAATTTACCCCCTTAAAATCAATCAATTTTTTGACATTTGATTTGACATCATTTTTTTATTTTTTTTTCTTTTGTTGTTTTTTTTCCTATTTTGTTTTTTTTGTTTTTTTTAATTCTTTTATTATTATTATTATTATTATTATTATTATTATTATTATTATTATCGCACAAAATTTTAACATTCGGACGACATTATAAATTCGAACGACTATATAAAATCGGTTATTAATATTTTTTTATATTTTAATATTAATATTATTATTGTTATTATTATTATAAATACGAACGGCTATATAAAATCGGAAACATAGTATAGTGCTCAACTAAAATATTTCAATCCGCATAACGCACCATACAATTGTAATATCGTACCAATTAATATCCATAATTAATAGGGACAAACTTTGTTTTTGTTCCGATTTTATATAGTCATTCAAATTTATAATGCCCGATTTATAAAATGGTATTCGAAATTTATAATAATAATAATATTAATAGTAAATTATAAAAAATATTTAAAAACCGACTTCATATAGCCGTTCGAATTTTTAATTTCGTCCAAATGTTAAAATTTTATGTGAAGTTTATAATAATAATAATAAATTAAAAAAGAATTTAAAACAACAAAGAAACAAAATAGGAAAAAAAAATCAAAAAATAACAACAAAACACAAAAAATCAGGGATAGAATTGGAAAAAGAGGGGTTCTTTTAGAATTGGAAAAAGAGCCGGTTCTTTTAGAAAACCCCATATTTTAAACGATCACTGTATAGTTATGCTTTGGAAAGAGTAAAAGTTCTCTACTAATGAGCTGAGCACATGTGCTTCTCTAAAAAGCAACAATTATTTGTGTATTATTTAATTAATCTATTGTCGCGTATATATTTGTATACGAATATTTGTTTTTCAATCATCTATCATGAAAATATGGTTGAAATTCAGCGAATCTGCCGTTAATATTTAGGTATGGAGGCAGCCGGAGTTGTAATAAGCCTTGGTCCTGACGTCACTACATGTAAAGTTGGAGATTACGTGGCTTACGCTGGCTTTCCTGTCTGCGCTTACACCGAAGAAATGATACTTCCTGCAGATAGAGTCGTACCAGTTCCTCCTTCAATTGATCCTATTGTAGCAGCTGCTGTGCTTTTTAAGGGACTCACAGCTCAAGTTCTGGTTCGCAGTTGTTTTCAGGTGATCGAATTTTGCTTTTAGATGCCAATAAAATGTCATTGGCAATCTATATATAATGTGACTCAGTATAGTAAATTTTGAAAACAGATTGGACCCGAGCACACGATCCTTGTCCATGCAGCTGCGGGTGGAGTCGGGTCATTGGTGTGTCAATGGGCAAACGTGCTAGGTGCAACCGTGATTGGAACCGTTTCAAATGAAGTGAAAGCGGTGCAAGCTAAGGAAGATGGATGCCACCATGTCATTATCTACAAACAAGAAGACATTGTTGATCGTGTTATGGAGATCACATCAGGAAAAGGAGTTGATATTGCCTATGATTCTATTGGGAAAGACACATTTGAGGTAATAATTTATAATTTTAATTAAAGGGTTAAATATACAAGAAACAACAATGTGTTTATTACAATATCATACTTTCTTTTTGAAGAAATCGGCGGCATGCTTAAGATTTCGTGGATACATGGTTTCATTTGGATTTGCATCTGGCTCACCCGAGCCTGTAAAATTCAGTGTGTTTTCGGATAAATGTTTGCACTTCACAATTCCATCCATGATGCTCTACACAAAAGCACGAGAAGACCTCCTTGCAGCTTCGGAGGAACTATTTGATAATGTTGCAAAAGGAGTTTTACGTGTTCGAGCAAATCACAAGTACCCTTTATCGCAAGTGGCTCAAGCTCATTTGGACCTTGAGGATCGGAAAACAACCGGGTCCGTTGTTTTGATACCCGATAACTAATATTTATATGTTGTTTAAGCAAATCCACATAGTTCGTCCAAGAGTGTAGTTTCATTTGGTTGGTTTTATACATGAGTCAATATTTCACGAGTTTTAACGACCAAATTATGGGGCACATTTGAATATTATAGTCCATAGATAAAAAAAAAGATGATGAATAAGCCTAAACCTAGAATACTCAGATTTGCCCCATAATTTACTATTCAAGTATGCAATAATTCATACATGTTGATTGTGGTGATATGTTGACTTTTTGGTGTCTTGTTTGTCATTTTGTTCCATGTAATGGAGAGCGTTACCCTCTACCAATAATGGATCTGTCTTTTTACGAACAATCAATAATGGATCTTGAAATTTTGACTAAAGTTTTTATTTTGTGGAAGAAAAAGTACTTTAGAGTTTAGATAATTATTTTATATTAACGCTTTCATACATATTTATTATATATATAATTAGAAGCTTATTGTCACGGATTTAAATTCAGCACCACTCTTTTTGACCTTGCATGTGTGGTATCCGAGGTCCCTATAAAACCATGAGATCAACCTACCTAGATACGGATGAAAACTGGTTCCACCATGTCTTTGACTCATTGAGGTGACATTAGTCCTCGACCAATTGTGTCCAACCCGCTACAGTCTCCTTCACAGTCAATCCCTCTACAAATTACAACTCTGTCAAATGGCAGTGACTAGACTAACATCGCCCTTATAGAACTAATATGGCCCCTTTATATCTTAAAGGCAAGCTAACCAACAACATGGTCTTCCTTTTATTCGGTCTTCACGGTCACGCCAAGTCTAGGCCGTAACATTCTCACACCGCGAAAATACAGCATGTCCTCGCGCGGGAGGAGTATAACTTTTCTTCCTTCCAGTTGATCAACATCGTGTATAGTTGCACATCGCACTCCTTGATCTTTACCACAAACGCATCGGGTTAGAGATCAGCATGTGGCCACCCTTAACCTACTCTTAGACTTACGTAAGGAGGTGGAATAGTCCACAGTAGGTTGCCCGTCTAGGCGACCGACCCGCTATCCTACCTCTACGGACCTTATAAAAGTACGCACCTGACTCTATGTATGTCTCACTTGCTCGAACACGACTTTGATACCACTTGTCATTAACTTAAAAATGACACCACTCATTGCTCGTGTGTTGTCCCGAGGCTCCTCATAAAACCACAAGACCAACCTACCTAGATACATATGCCAACTAGTTTCGTGTTGCCTTGGGCTCATTAGCGAGGCGACATTAGCCCCCGACCAGTTGTTTCTAACTCGCTAGCTATGTTCCCCTTCACAGTCAAGCCATCTAGTAATTACGACTCGGTCATCCAGTAGCGACTAGACTAACAATATATGCTCTTATGGAAGTAATATGCCCCCTTTAGATCTTAACGGCAAGCTAACCAACGACATGGTCTTCATTTTCTTCGATCTTCACGGTCACACCAAGTCTGGGTTGTAACATTATGGTAAACTCTGCTCTCGATATTGATTTTAATATTTACGACCATTTACTCTAAAATTGTAGGTTATAAAACCCATCAATGACAATTATTTTGTAAGTGTCTATGTTTATTTAATATTACGCAAGTTCTATATAATCCAATGGTTTCAGAAAGAATCAAATATTGTTTACTAAGTCAAACTATATGTTCGTAATTTTATATACGATCAAACTCGCAATAAAATTTTATATATAATAAAAACAATAATATCATACCGTTATCGTTATATATATATATATATATATATATATATATATATATATATATATATATATATTATAGAGGGTCCGGTTCCTATGAAGACTCATTTTAAATTGAGGACTCGTGAGAATACCTTAAAAAAAATTGAAAAAAAATCTAAAAAAAAATACAAATCATAAAATCGAGCTTAGACCTATGCCCGGGAGAAAAAAAATTGGAAAAAAAAATTGCATCATTAAAATTGATCCATGATTCATTTTTAATTTTTTTATTTTGCATCATTATGATCCATTATTCAATTTTAATTAAAAATTAAAAGTTACACTTGAATAAAAATAAGTGTAACTTAACTTACAGAGTTTCTTAGAGAAAACATGGAAATTGTGAGGGCAGAATCTCGATTTGAAAGATCTATGTCTTAGATGCTCTAGGAGATCGCTAAAGTAGCCGGAAACGAGAAAGTATCGGGACTAGAGGGTGGAAGGTGTTCCAGAGGATTTGAGCAGAAATAGTGAGAGGAGAATGTTGTAATCGAAGGTATATATAGGGTAATTTTGCATGCGCATCGCATGCTTGGCTGGTGCGCGTCGTGCACTTGGTCGGGGCAGGTGACATGGCTCCATTCGTTGCTCAACACATGGAGGATAACAGGTGGAGTGCCAGTGCACGCCGCACACCCTGTTGTTGCGTGCGAACGCACGCACGTATTTTCAGTTTCTTCAAAAATTCATATCTTCTTCATACGAGCTCCACTTTCAACGTTCTTTATATCCACGTGTAGCTATTTTCGATATCTACAACTTTCGTTTAGACTCCGTCGGCTAAGTCTCACTTTGTTTTTAAATCTATATTTTTAACAGACTTAGATTGTTAAAGTCTGTATAAAAATCATAACTTCTTCATACAATATCCGTTCTCGATTGTCTTTATATCGATGGATGGGTATTGACGAGATCTTCAACTCTCGTTTGGATTGTTTTCCTGACAATCGACCGATTTTAATTTCGGATTCTATGTCATATACTACTACACTAAAACTTTAAAAAGTCATAACTTCCTCTCACGAAGTCAGAATTAGGCGTTCTCTGTATATACAGAATCCTTTTCACATATACTATAGTTTTAGTTAAGGTCATTTATCCTAAATAACCTTCTATAAAAATTTTGTTTTTATCGCTCATAATACCTTAAGCGTTTAGCCCGAATTTGCGGGTATTACAAAATCCTCATAAAACTTCTTCCTAGAACGTAACGTAATCTAGGTGTCCTTATAGTCAATAACTTACTCACTACTTTGTGCTTGGACACCATCTTTATGACATCATGACCAACCAACTCCTATGAGGAGGTATTGTAACGCCCGTGTTTCTAAACTAGGCATTAACGATGATCTAATAGTCTAGGTCAACCTTTGTAATTTGTTTTGAAATAATAAGATGTATTATTTGAGTATTATGTGTTTTATACTTAATTATTATAATTTAATGAATTAAGGATAAAAAATAAGCGTCGAAAATAAATATTAGATAAACCCGATATCTATGGAGAAAGTTGTAGTGGTTGAAACAAGGATTCCGAAGATATAAAGAATACCGAAATCCGAGTTATAAAGAAAAAGTTATGACATGTCGAAGTTTCGCGACAGAACCGGCACAACGCTGTGTGACGTAAAAAGTGAGTTTTCGATAAAGTGCTTTTTAGCCTTAGTAATCTAAACGAAAGTCTTAGTGTTCGTTAAATCGAGAGCGTGCATAAAAAGAACGCCCAAAACTGACTTCGTATGAGAAAGTTATGATTTTTCTAAGTTTCAGCTTAGCTGTATGCAGCCCGAAACTCGAATTTTAGATCGAATGATTTTTAGCCAAAACAACCTAAATGAGAATTGAATATCTTGTTGATAGTAGTTCAACGGTAAAAAATACTGACGAAAACGGACGTCGGATGAAGAAGTTATGAATTTTTAACGAATTTTTCTTGTCCCGGCCTGTTAAAAATATAACTTAAATAATAAATTCAAAATTAGCCGACGGAGTCTAAACGAAAGTTGTAGATCATAGTCTCACCTACACGTGGATATAAAGAACGTGAAAAACGGAGCTCGTATGCGAAAGTTACGAATTTTTGAAGTTTGAAAATTAGGAGTACGTCCAACGTACAGGAGTACGCCCAGCGTACTCGTGTTCACGGTCCGAGATTGGCCACGTAGCCCTACTCTTTCGCATGATGGACATGTGTCGTAGCCTTGATGCGTCCCTGTTGATCTCTTTGTATGCCCATCGTACTGGTGGAAGAGGCAGTACGCCCTGCGTACTCTAAAGTTACGCCCAGCGTAACTCGAGTATTCAGCCCGTATAAATAGTGACCGATGCCATCCGAATTTATGTTACAAACTTCATTCTCTTACCCTATACTTTCTTCTATATTGCAAAAATTACCCCCAAGCCTATTATATCATCCTAGCATCATAAGCAAGCCCCCAGATATCCCGAAGATCCCGATAAAAGAGTTTTTCGAGACGAAACTCTGCCCGCGTGAAGCCCGGTTTTTAGTAAAACATCCCGGTTTTGTACAAACGATCGTTTTAAGAAACGAAGTGCTGCCCGATTATCGTTAAATCATGTGAGTGTATAGTCACTTTCATCTTACACATAGATATGAAGTATTTTCTATAAAATACGCGATATGTGTAATTATATTGTTTGTTTATTTGAGATGGGTGTTGAATAGTTGTTTATTCAAGTTTTAAACTGTATATGTATTTTTATCTACAAATATGTTGGGTAAAACATGGGTAGACGAAATAGTTGATGTGTGTTAAAATGATGAGAGGTCTCAATATTGTTATTGTTTCAGTCATCTAGCTGAGTATAGATGACGACCACGGACCTTTCTAGACAGTCCAGTGGAACGCTAGCAGACTCGCAACCTGTAGGTGTTTGTGAACTTAGTGTTCAATGGTATACTCCATCCCCCACATGGTTCCCTTATTTGACATAAATTGTTGAGGAATCCCTAAAGCAGTGGTATCACCCCGATGAAAATCCTTAGGCTAGGTCCCTTATGAAAGGTGTTTATGGACGTAAAGTGAGGATAACGGGAACGGGTAATCAGGGTTATTGTTGTTTGATGAAATTAATAAATTTATTTTTGGTTGATGAAAATTAATAAATTTATTATTTGTGAGTTTAAAACCCTATATGCTCACCAGGCTCCTAAGCCTGACCCACTCAGCTTTCTGTATTACAGGTAGTGGACCCAGAGCATAGTTGGATGATGATGAGGGATTTTTAGATTATAGGCCACTAGATGTAAATATCTATTGTAAGGCTTATAATGTACTGTTTATACTTTTTGTTTGTATCGGAACATGACATCCTGAGGTTTTGTTATATAATGAAAATATATTTCTTTAAAAATGCTTTGATAAATTTTTATTATATTTGTTTTGGGAACAAATTCCGCAACATCTTTTGGAAAATTACTCTGATTTTATTTTAAAAGCATAAACTAAATCGGTCTTTTCTTGCCGAGAAAAATGGGGATGTCACAGTTGGTATCAGAGCATTAGTTTAAGCGAACTAGGAATTTGTAGGATTTCTAGACTTAAATTTAGAATGCTAAGTGATGATCGTGAGATGAGTGTCTACCATATTTTAGACACGAGCAC